ATAACACTTCATTACAGAGCCACTTCTGGTTACCAGAATCTTGAAGAATTAGTTTTCCTTATCGCACTTCATTATAGAGCCAATTCTGGTTACCAGAATGTGAGAAAATCAGTTATTCTTATCGCACTCTTATAGAGTCAATTCTGGTTACCAGAATCTGAAAGAATCAGTTTGTCTTATCACACTCTTACAGAGTCAATTCTGGTTACCAGAATCTGAGAGAATCAGTTTGCCTTATCACACTCTGTTACAGAGTCAATTCTGGTCACCAGAATCTTGAAGAATTAGTTTTTCTTATCACACTTCATTATTGAGCCAATTCTGGTTACCAGAATCTGGGAGAATCAGTTTTTCTTATCGCACTCTTATAGAGTCAATTCTGGTTACCAGAATCTTAAGGAATTAGTTTTCGCTACCACACTCTATTACAGAGTCAATTCTGGTTACCAGAGTCTAAGAGAATCAATTTTCCTTATCACACTCTTATATAGTCAATTCTGGTTGTCAGAATCCTATAGCACGAAAAGCTGTTTCATATTTTATTTCTTTTCAGACTTTGATGTGTTTAATTTGTTATGTTCAATGGTTGTTACTATAACAATATGGCAAGAATAAAAAGTGTAACATCACGTACTGGTATGCTATTGGATGGAAACACAACCAGATTACCATTAGCTTTAAAGCCGTCGAATAGTAGAGTGTCATCCTCTTCATCGTGTACAATTGAATTATTATCACCGATAACAGCTAATACTGATATAAATTCGACATTAACTTCAATCAGTGATCCACCATCATTATTAGCTTCGTCAAAAGAAAAAAAATCATCTTCAAGTATAAAAAAAATGAAAAAGACAAAATCACAATCCAAAGCAGTAATCATCGAATCAGAAGCTGATGAAGAAGATACTGATATTCAAAAAGGTGCAGAAGTACAGTATGACCTTATTACAAGTATACATGAATGTGGTGGTATTGATCGATTTTTAGAAGCTCCATGTATGATATTGTATAAGCGTTTTTTGACTGGCCAAAGTTAGTTATCGATTTGTCTTGGTTTCAATGATTCAGCTGTTTCTAACGAGACTACCAGTTTAGACTTATCTCATACGAAAATGTTTGAATCTGGTGACCAGAAACATAGGTTTCTTTGCTTAGAGATTTCAGTTTATTCGGTTGTTCTCTTTGTCTTTGTCCTAATGTCTCTGCTTGTGGTGACCAGAATGTTAACAAGCGAAAACATATTGTTGTTTTTATACTACTCGATATGTGTTTTTATCTGCTTTTAGCTGATCTTGAAAATTACATCTTAAAACATATTTCATCATATAGTACAAATCCATGTTTATTTGCTGGTATCACGGGTACCATTGAATTCAAGCTCAAAATCAATAAATTTTATCATGAAAACCGGAATAAATCAATGAATTCAACAATTGTTTTTAAAGCTCATTCTTCCAGAACTACGGTTACTCATCAAATCTTACTCAAAAATGGAAACCTTTATTTGTATGTTGATCAAGTCATAAAAGATAAAACCAAGAAAAAGAAGAGAAAAAATGTTTCAATTGGTAGGTGAACGATTCATTTTTCTAATATATTTCTTTCAGATAGAATCAGTCTTGTTTCTGTCTGAGTAATACGAAAGTAATATGTTATTTTCTTTTTATTAAAAATTTAGATTCAGTACGTGGTGTTGAAAAAATTCATGAAACTAAACGTAGTAGTGGTAATGCACAATCTGAAATTCATTCTTCCAATAAAACTGTGAAATATGTACAATCTAGAAATAAAAATGATGATGAAGAAGAAAAATCTGGTGAGTTCAGAAAATTCAGTTATACAAGATGCTAGATATACATGTTTTGACTTCTGGTCGCCACAGCGAAAATTTACTTATTTCTATATATAGATATTGAAAATATTGATGGTAATGACAGTGGAACAATGAATAGTAAAACAACTGAATTAGAAGGTGAAGATGAAAAGACACAAGTACCAAGTGCTAGTGAAGATGAAATTGTAGAAGAAGGAACATCACAAACAAATAGTATGTTTTTTAAACAAATTATTTATTAAATTTCGACACAGATAGATGTTATTGAAGAGATTTTTTATTGGTATTATTCAATACATTTTTGTCTTTCTCATATTTAAACGTGGTATCAGAAACATATATTCATTTGTTTTGTTTTTCGTTTAGTGTCAATTGGTGATACAAAACGTAAAAATATCAATTACAAAGGTGGTTCAAAAAATTGTGAGTATATAATTGTACTAAGGACCTTCTTTTAAGGAGGTCAACAGTCTTTTTTTATCTTTTTTTTAAATAGGTGGACTTTATATGTTTCTCAACAAATATCAAGAAGTAAAAGAATGTGTCAACAACGTTTTGAGTTACGGCCGAGAACACGGTGTATTAATGTCCGGCGTCCAATTGAAAACGTTATTGGACATCCAGAACGTTGAAATTACTAAAAATAGAGCCTGTGCTATTGTTTGAACTTATTTCAAACAATGTGGAAGTCGTGAGCAATCCACATTTTGTACCACCTACGGCACAAAAATCGTAAGCAATAACTTTCGAATAATACGTTCTTTTCATCCATAATATATTTTAATAGACTTTTTGAATATTATGGTGATGGTTCAGAATTAACTGCAGTATCTCCCGCTAAATCAATACCGATTCCACGATCAATAATGATCGAATATAGGGAAGAAGAGAGCAAGAAGGTCAGCGCTTAGTTTTTTATTTTGCTTGCTAGTAATGAAATTGTTCCATTTTTATACTAAATAGAAAAAAACTGATGGTGATAACAAACGTGGGAAAGAAGAACAAGAACCAGTAAGTTGCCACAGAACAGTAGCAAGAATAAACTTTACTATTCCCAGAACGAATTTAACTATTTTTGTTTTTCATCTTAAGCCTTTGGAAATGAAAAAGAAAATAGATGCAGAAAACTATAATAGTGAAGCTGCAACTAAGATGATGGAAGTTGATGATGTGAGTATTGACTAATTCTCGATGCACGCTTAACAATTAATAACACATTGCTTCTATTCTTTTTCGATTGAATAGGAAAAAATCAATGAAAATCAAACCAATTCAATTGATAATAAACAAAACAATAAAAAAGAAAAGAAAAAGTTAAATGAAAATAATTCAGAAGTATGTTTTTTCTATTCTGTAAAGTGGTGACCAGATTATTAGACTTGGCTTTGTCTTTTATTGTACAGAAAGGTCGTAATATTTCATCATCACATAATCATTTGAAAAGACCTGTCATTAATAACGATCGTGAAAGTAGTAGTGACAATACTGGTATTAATTCAACAAAAAGTCCATCAAAAATAAAAAATGTTGTAAGTAAACTGTACTTTACTAAAGAAATTTCAGTTTCTGGTAACCAGAAACATGCTTTTTATGTAACTACTTATAGGTTGAACGATGTACTTCTCCAATTCCTGGTAAAACTGATTCTTCCATTACAATTTGTACAGAACGTCGATTATCACCATTATCATCTTCATGGTCTACAGTCTCTACAAATGATCAAATCTCATCAACTGATGTTTCACATTCGATTTCACCTCAACATTCAAATGCTGCTGATAGTACCACCAAAACATCATCATCACTCCTACAACAAAGTACACCATCACAAACAAAACAAACAAATGTTTCTATTAAGAAAGTTGACACTGCTCAAACACCAAAAGAGTGAGTTTACTTTTATTCGTGATGTAAAAGCTGTTCTTTTGTATTTATAATTACCTGCTATCTTCTTTATTTCATATAGTTCTAAACGACGATCATATGGTTTACGTTCAAAGGCAAAAAGAAAACAACCTCAACAATCACCAACCGAACATTCAAATACAGCACCACCTGCTCCTCCATCAAAGAAAAGAAAAATTGACAGCAACAAAAAATCTGCAGAAAAATATCAAATACTAACAAAACAATTGGGCAAAATTCCAAAGAAAATACATACACCATCAGCAACAGTTACTTCAAATGATAATTGAAAGAAATAATTTATTAAAAAACAGAATTTGATAACTAAAATTGAAAGCAAAACAGGATTGTGATAATTTAGTTGTGAATTGTTTTTCTTCTATTTGTTTTTGTCTTTTCTCTTTTGCTTTTCTTTCGTTTATTCTAAGTAGGTGTTTATGTGTGTCGAGCTTATTATCACACTCAAAGTACTCTTTTGCTATAGATCATATGTTTCTTTTTTTGATGTTTCATTATATGAAAATAAAATTTAGTATACAACTCATCTATGTTTAAAACAGTAAAAATAAGTAAGTTTCTGGTCACCAGATAATAAGTTTTACAAAATATAGTCAAAGCAAAAAACCGATAGTTAATTCAAGTTTAAAATAATAAGATAAAAAAATGGTCTTCATCAGTACCAAGTCAGTCTGAGCAAGAAATGGTTCTGAATTTATGAGTGGAATCGGATCGAAAACAGTATCAGTAATTTTTATGTATCAGTCAGTTTTAAAGATATCGAGAAACTGTGAAGTAGATTAACGTATAGCAACTCTCTATTTTGGTTTTGTCTTAATAGCGGGTAAAATAAATGTTGATGAGTGGTTTTCTGCTATTCGCACGCTCTTCTTTTATATTCATTACCAGATATCAGGATATGCATATAAAGTAAACAACACAGTTATTTCTTTTAAAGAAACATGTTTATTAGACTAGTTTTCATTGTATTGATATACCTGATTTTGATCAGCACAGGAATTAACTGTCTTCTTTTTCGATTTTTATTATAGATTATATTCATTATCATTTCTTTTTATAATGTTCAACATTGATAACATCGTTCAGTGTGCTACTTCCATTTCTTCGCTATCTTCCAATACATCATCATCAACACCATTATATCATCCTCATCCTACTCGTCAGAATCAAACATCATCAGTATTTCATATACCATCTTTTGCATCACCACTGTATAATACTCCACTACCACCTCAACAACATCATCATCATTCATATCCATATCAATCTTATTCACAAACATTATCACAAGATGAATGGTCTTTAATAGTTTCATTAAGAATGATGAACAATCTAAGTGTATTATCACCATTTCAACCGCCACCATCTTCTGCAGCACATCAACAATCAGGTGATGTAACATCTCATCAACCTTCTTCTTCTGATCAAACTGGTCACCAGATTCAACTATCGACATATTATGCAACAAAAGCTGCAGCTATTCATCCATACACACCACCATCACCACTACCAATAACGACAACAACACCACCACCAACAACACCACCACGAACAACAACACCACCACCAACAACACCACCACGAACAACAACACCACCAACAACAACAACACCACAACAATTACTATATGTTCAACAGACTCAATGTCCCACTACACAAACACAGCAACTGTTAACAACAGCTGCTTCACAACCATCAACAATTTCAGCACATACAGAACCTGAACAAGTATCTTCGTCTTCACAAATATCATCGTCACGACAAATGTCTTCACCTCCACAAATACAATCTGGTCACCAGAACCATTCACCTATGCTACAACTACAGTCACATTCTTCTCCTGCTTCACCACCACCAGCTATTATTTCACCAGTACAACAACACCAACGAAAAGTTTCAGATCAAAGTATATCAGCTTCTCCTCAACAACATCAATCGACTCATCCACAAACACCAACAATCTTTCACTACAACCAAACGATAACAGGACCAGCTGTTCAATTACTTGATCCAACAAAACCATATGAACTTGGAGATACTATTAAAATTGGTGGACGTACGTTAGAATCAGATGCATTATCAATGAAATATTGGTGTGAAGATGATATGACTGTCAATGAGATAACAACCGGTAGACACATAATGAATATGGCTGGTTATTCGTATTTCGTTAAAAATTATGGAAAAAATTTTACAACGTGGGAATGCGAATATCGCCGCAAACATAGGTGTTCATCAATAGTTATCCGATCATCGGATCCAACTGTGAAAAATTATTTTCGGATTTATTCTATTCAAGGTGAACATATTCATGAACCAGCACCAAACAATATTGAAGTTCGAAAATTTAAACATCGTATAAGAGAGCGTTGTAGACAAGAATTATCTAGTCCACGAACAATTTATGAAGATGAATTGAAGAAAGGAAAATATTCATCGGAAATGTTAGCAGTTTTGCCAACATTTTATAATATGCGTAAGTAAACAAATATTTTTTTTATAGAACTTCGTTTTATCAAGATATAAATGTAACGTAAAAAGTTTAGGTAGAATAATAATGTAATGTATAAATGCATAATCTGATAAAATATGGTGAGAATATTAATCTGATGAAAATAAGATATTGATAGAGTATACCTAAATCTCTGCGTTACTGATTGCAAATATATGAATGAGAAAATAATATCAGGGCAGGAAGTTAAATGAAGAGGACACGCGGATATAGAAATAAGAAAGTAAAATCAGTATCGGCACAATACAGTCTAAGTACTAATCTGGTGACCAGTAATCATCAGATCACTATCTTCGGATCAGATGTCGTGAAAGGGAAAAAAATCTAGCAAGTTTCATCTTAGTCGAAAAACCGTAATCTTTATCGATCTGATGACGAAATCAAGTTTTTACTTGATGTATTTAGAAGCACAGTTATATCATATTCGTCAAGAACATTTACCACCATCACCAACAGATCCTAACTTCATCCTACATCCAGCATTTACATCTACAGACCAAGGTGAAAGATTTTTATTATATGACTCAAATAATGTTCAAGCACCATATGCACCAGCACCAAGTAAAGTCGGACGTCTTATAATCTATGCTAGTGATTTACAGTTGAATATTTTATCGAAATCGAAACGTATTGGTAGTGATGGTACATTTGAAACAGCTGCACAGATTACTCATCAAAATTATATAATAATGGGTGAATATGAAGAAAAACATTCTGGTAAGAATAAATTGTAATCTGGTCGCCAGAAAAAGAAAATTGTTAATTTTTACTATTCTTTTTGTATTTTTATCTTTAGTACCATTAGTTTTTTGTTTATGCGAACATATGAATTATGAAACATATGAATTAATCATACAAGTATTAAAAACAGCTGTTAGTAGTTTAAAATTAGATTTTCAACCAACGTATTGGATGAGTGATTACGAAGCTGCATTAACAAAAGCTATTAAACAAGAGGTAATTTTTCTTTTTTATATTTTTGGTACACTATTTCCTAAACCCTAGCTAACAGTTAAATGTAAAATACTTTAACTTCTCTTAGTATTATTCTGGTCACCAGATGAGTTCTTAACGAACTTCAGGACCGAAAGCAAAGGGATAATTATAAGTATCAGAAACATGCATAATTCAGTAGTTTCTGGTAACCAAATTTACAAATTTTATTATAGAATCCCTAACCTTTCATTCGTTTTCTTTTTTTAGCTACCAAATACTAAATTGCTTGGTTGTGCTTTTCATTATAATCAAGCAATCTATCGCAATATTCAAACTAAAGGCTTACAAGAGGCTTATCAAAATGTTGAAGTAGTACGTCAAATGCTTCGTCAAATTATGGCTTTGGCTTTTATACCAAGTGATCAAATTAAAATAGTGTACAATGATGTTATTAAACCACAATTAAGTAATGTTCCCACAAGACCAACATCTCTTCGTCATAATTTACGTAATTTTTTAAAGTATTACGAATCATACTGGTTAACAAAGATTTATAAATTCTGTGTATTTGATCAACCAACACGGACAAACAACGAACTTGAAGGTATATAGTATTTCAATTACATAATCTTTTCCTTTTCAAACAGTTGCTTATCAAACATTAACATAATTTCAATTATGAAAGTAGAATGTGGTCACCAGACTATAAACATACTCAAAGCTCGAAACAAAAAGTACTGGTAACAAGTTGATTAGTCAGTTAATAATAGAAGTAGGTTCATATCTGTACTTCACATGTGGTCACCAGATGTATAAGGAATTTTAAATTTCGCTTTTCTTCAAGTAATTGTCATTTATAATCTTTTCTTAATTGTAGGATACAATAATAAAATGAATGTTCAGCTAACAGCTCATCCACATCTTTATCGCCTTATTATATGGTTTGAAAAAGAAGAATTACTTGTACAACAATTAGCAATGAAAGTGATTTCAGATATACCGGTGCATAAACGAAAACGTGCACCAATAACAGTTCTTATTGATAATTCATTACAATCCTTATGGAATAGTTATAAAGCTGGAACACTCACTCCAAAAGCATTATTATTGGAATCGTCAAAATGGATAGCAAGAAAAGCTTGACATGAACAGCAACATAAGAAAATGATGAATATTCTGCTCTACTTCTATAACGTTTTTTTTTCATGCTTGTCATTGTAATTAATTTTATATCTGGTGACC